AATAGAAGCAGTTTAAGAAAATTTAAACACCATTTTAAAGACAAAATTATTATCCCCTTATATAAAATATTATTTACTGTCATCATGTCAAAGATAAAATAAATCAGTTATTAAAAATGAGTTATTAAAACCAATATGTTTAGAAATGTGTAGAAAAAAATCTTCACTCCATTTAACAGAAATTGGGGAAAAAATAAACAGGGGGGCTAATTATTCTGACTTCAACTGTATTTCATATTAATATTAGGACCCGGCAGGCACCTTATTGTCAAAATGATATCAAAAACAAGTAAAAAAAAAAACAAACACAAATCAATTTGATGTCAAAACCTTGATGTCTATTTGACCTCCACACATTGATGCTATTTTGACCACCAATATAACAACACAATAGAATATAAGAAAGTTTTTTTTTTTTTTTTTTTTAACTGAAAGCTTCAATTTCAAGTATGCAATGGATATTGTGTATTATTTGATGCCAAAAAACATGTGAAAAAAACAATAACAGGACTGCAATCGATTTTTGATGTGTTTTTGGTGCTATAGTGTTCGATGTCAATTTCAAGGTAATGATTTGTTTAACATCAAGGTAGTTTATTTTGTATATGTTTTTTGACATTCTTTGACATCAAGTTTCCGGTTGGGAAGTAGGAGCACAACAATTAAATGTGTTGTTGTTTAGGCTTATCTCTGCGACCACTTCCTTTTCAGAAACCTTTGGAAATGCGAAAACCCACCATTGGCTAGTATTAGTCTCAGATTGTGTGTGTACACTGGCCGCCAGGGCGCAGCTGCAGCACAAACTCACATTGTTTTGTTTGCACTGATAGATTGTAATCTAAATGAATAATCAGTGGTTGGTGCCTCAAAGTCTCTTAGGCAGCTGAGGCTCCATCCTGCCCATCATCTAGCTGTGTGTGAAGCAGAATGTAAAAAAAAAAAAACACACACACAGCACTACAATGAGTCACATCTCACTCTCAGAGATACGGCTGGCATGCAGCCTGCCTCCCCCTTCCCCAAACCACACACTATTCTGGGCGGTGATTAAGCCTCACACTTCCATCAGCGGGTGGAGAAGTGTGGGCAACATGGGACGTGATCGGCTATGTAGGAGTAGACATGAGAAATGGAAGCAGGAGACAGAGAGAGAGAGAAACATTGACTTTTAAGGCCTTTTTATTGCAAGTTTTAAAATTTTGATTTAAACAGAAAATAAGATACTGGAAAGCTGTTAAAGCAGAGATTTGCAAACCGCTGATACTTAAAGATAGATGTTAAGACAGTTTTCAGAGTTAGCATGACACTGATTTGCCCCTCATTTGTAACTGAACAATGTCAAGTCATTTAACATTTCATAAAAACTATACTCTACATTTTATTTTATTTTAGTATTAAAAAGGCATCAGTTTAAAGATTACTCTTATATAGAGAATGAAGTCACATGAATTGCTCATGTGAGATTTTTTCACAGACTTCAACAGAGTGTAAAAATCTGTGGATCTTGTCTATCAAATCTGATCTTTAATTTGTGTTCTTCATTTGGATTCAAGTCAGTTGATTGGCCGGACAATTCTACAGCTTGATTTTTTTTTTTTTTTTTGCTGAAATGTCCACTCTGGGTTCATCTTTATCACCCTGATAATGTTGATAATGTTGCACTGAAGCAGCTGATATTAATTTAGAATGCAGAAAGGACAGAAGGTTGCTGAAGAACTTAGAGATTTCAGCTGCTGTCTGGGCTGCATCCCTGCATCATTTCATTTTATTACACATAACTTAATTTGTAACCTAATTAGTTTAGTTTTCTTTGCATATATGGATTTCTTTGGTTGTTACCAACAGCCGGGGAAAATTCAAGTCAACAGCACCTTTAGAAATATGTTCTCTGAGAAAAATAGTGACGTGTTTAATACTTATTACCCCCACTGTATGTATTACGTTACAATTTTGTTAAATGCTTATGTAATCTGCAATGTTTTGGCAACACTTGCCAATAAAGCTCTTTTGAATTGAATTGAATTGAGAGGGAGAGCCTTTTTTGACTTTTGACTTTAAAACATCTTTATTTTACAATAACATATCAAAGAGCAAAGTACAATTATTACAAATTATCACAAGAGACTATCTGATCACCAGACGTCACCAATCAAATAATAGCATGTCCTCTTCACATATCAGTGTACATACACTCATTTTATTTTTTACTTGTTCAAACTACTTAATTTAAATGAGCTGAAACAACACAATTCTTGAGATTTCATTGGGACAACTTAATTTTTTTATGTTCAATTCACATAAATTTGTTGAGTTAACTTAATCGTTTTGTGTTGGGACAACATGAATGAATTGTGTGGAACCCTGCATTTTTTAGATTGTAAGGTTTCATTTACTCCCCATTTAAATTTAAATTATGAATAAAATAAATTCCTTGTGAGTTGAAAACAATTTATCTTCCATTCAAATCTTGGATTTAACCAAGACACCAAAACAGTTTTCCTTATTTGATTTAGCTTAGAGAGAAAGATTTTAACTTTCAAAAATCTTTTAATCAAAACAAATATTATAACCATTTATAAACTTTACAACTTACCAAACATAGTTCTCCAAATTCTCCTCTCACCACAAGAGCATTTTGACACACCACCTCACATAAAAGAAACACATATTATTTGTTTATTTACAATATACATATTCCACAGTGACCCGATACTCCAAATATTTTACTAAATATTTTATACTAAATATTTTTACATTTGTGAGAAATTTTAAAATGGCCAATTTTGTTTGTCCCATCAGAAAATTGCTAAGTTTACACATTGTGCTTCCTATTCTTTTTTATACTTTACTCCAATAATAAATAATAAAATAAAATTTTGTGAATATAAGGCCTAATTTATTAGATACTTTATTTAATAACTCAAATAAGGGAGCTTATTGAAAACTAACATGAAGAGAAAGAGAAGTGAGAATGATCTTTCGCATGACTCACTTTGTAACTTAAGTTTGTTTTGATGTTGGCTCTGGTTTGGTTTGCAAATGATCTGTGATCCTGTTCTTTTTAAAAGCTGTTGAAACAAAAGGACATTCGAAAAATGCAGAAAAGGACTCCCAGGTCATCCACAATGTAGGTGAATGTTTTTGATTTAATACAGAATATTTTTTAGCTGAAACTGTGTTTATTGGTTAATATTACTGTTGTGTGCAATGGCAGTATGCACTGACATGTACAGTCGTCAACACTGTTTGTTTACAATTTGTTTATTTACTGTAGGTTGAAGCTGCCAAAATAAGCACACACCATTTTGTGGAATATTGCAGCAAACATTTCCTCTTTCAGTTGTGAACATGAACATGCTCAGGACCTTTTGGACCAAGGCTGTGGATTAAATGTAGCAAAGATAAAATTGAGTTTTGCACCATAAACACAGTCCATTGAGGCATCAAATTTGACATACATTACACTTTCACTTATTGGGATTGAAAATATATTATAAACATCCCTATGTGTGTTATGGCTCTGTCTTGACTTTTGGATGTTTGTGTTAATACACTAAAGTTAGATAGTTTTAAAAATTAACTAATCTAAAGCCAAATTAAAATGCATTTTTTACTGTTTTGTTCTTTCAAAAAGTATTTATTCACCCAGTAACTGTTGAAACATTATTTTCATGTAAAAATTTTTTTTTTACATTTTCATAATTTTTATTTAATATTTAGATGCTAAATTAAGTGTCTTGTTTCTATATAGAAAAGTTTTACCCAAATTGTTATTAACAATTTTGCAATAATTAAAATATTTACATTTAAACAAAATGAGCAAATCAAAAAGTCAAAGTATGATTTAAATGGTGCAGAATTAAAGTAACTGTATACATTTATTAATAATAATTTTGAAACCAAAAAAATTGATTTTGAGTACATGCATCAAACACTGCAGACATATTGTGCTTATATATTATTTTGTTTTCTTTATAAACTACAACAACCTTGTGGAAGCACACAAAATAATGTCGACACACCAACAGTAGGGTATATGATGGATTTCCCTGCTATTATCTGTTCACAAACTAAGAATTGTTCCTGTTTTTATATTTGGATATAATAAAGTTAAATTATATCATGTCGAGTATGAACTGACTTCGAGAGCACAGCAGATGGCAGTGTCTTACAAAAACATGCAGAAAAGTCTGTACATTCACAAAGTTTTTTTTAAAAATGTTTTTCATATTTTAGATTTTTTCAAGTTGTATTATTTTGTATCATATCATCATTTTATCATACTGAGCATATTTGCTCAGCCCAATAGTGAACACTAACATTGGTAGGCTGAAATTGTAAAATCAGCAGAATAAGAGTATGGTGTTTTTATTTTATTTTATTTTATTTTTTTTATGTTCTTTTCAGTTGTTTCAATAACTATATTTTATTAGTTTAACAAAAGTCTCACACCCCTGCTAAAAATAAAAAATTCAGAAACCATCACAGAAGTTCTAAAGGTTTTAATAATGGTTATAATGGAAATTTTATTGGTTTAAATTGAAGGTATAATGATCATTTTAGTGTCTACTGGCGTTATTTTGCCTTCTATTGGTGACAAGTTAAAACCCAATAAATCCTATTATTTCCCAAAATTCTTTAACCAATTAAAATGTAGTTGCTTTAATTGTTCAAATGTGAAGATTTTAAAGGTTTCAATTGTGTTTTGTGGGAACCATTCATATGCTGGAATGGTTTCTATTGTTTTGTTTGTTTGTTTGTTTGTTTGTTTGTTTGTTCACTTTTCCCTCAGCAGATACAGTATGCTGAACTTTTTACTCTTCTTGGACGTTTTGTTCGTTCATCAACGTATAGTTTCATATTTCAGAACGAATGTTATGAGAATTAAAGAGCAACAATTTATTCCGCTCACTTTCTAATTTAATCGAGCACTGTGTTAAATCATGTCTATTCAGCGTCAGTTCACTTCGGAAGTGTGATGAAGGGTTAACGCAAATTCATTACATCACCGGCTAAACACAATACCAGCGGCCATCTTTACTAACAGCAACAACTGCTGCTTCACTGAAGAAAGAAAATAAATGTATTGTTTTGTATTTTAGATGTGTCATTCAGGGAAACGCGTCTCATGTGGCAGCCCAAAAAGAGGTAAGATGCCGTTTTCCTTATTTCAATATTCATCCCGTTTTATTTGTGTGCTTTCAGAGTAAGATGTAAAGCCGCGCACGAGTGAATGAAACTCCGGCACTATACCTGAGTGTTTCATAACAATTATCCATTCCTTATAATTAGTCATGAACTGAGCTTTTAGCTAACGGGATGACTGATGTATAGACGTTTTTACAGCATACACAATGTTGTCACTCTCTGAACACTGTTTTGAGTAATTACAATATTATAAGTAGACAAAAACTGACGTACAACTAATTATTAGCTAAGAGAAAGTTCACGAATATTTTTCTTTGAGTAGAACTATTTAATGCTTAATTTAAACAGCAATTTTTAAAAGTGTACACAATATAGGCTAATAACATGCTTAAACAACATAATTGAAAACGCATAAAATAATATAGGCCTATTATTTTTTTATTAACATATGCTAACATAAATGGTAACGTAATATTATGACCTATTAAATTAATATGTAATTTATAGAGATTGAGGGATTTAACTATCAAGTAAGAAGGTTTGTCAATTAAATCATATTTTAATAAATAAATAAATAAATATATATATATATATATATATATATATATATATATATATATATATATATATATATATATATATATATATATATATATATATATATATATATATATATATATATATATATACATTTAAAGTCAGAATTATTAGCCCCTCTGAATTATTAGCCCCCCTGTTAATTTTTTTTCCCCAATTACTGTTTAACGGAGACAAAAAAAATTTAACACATTTCTAAATATAACAGTTTTAATTACTCATTTCTGATTACGGATTTATTTTATTTTTGCCATGATGGCAGAATATAATATTTTACTAGATATTTTTCATGAAACTTCTATACAGCTTAAAGTGACATTTAAAGACTTAACTAGGTTAATAATAATAAGGTTAGAGTAATTAGGCAAGTTATTGCATAAACATGGTTTGTTCTGGATACTATAAAAACAAAATTGGCTTAAAGAGGCTTATAATTTTGTCTTTAAAAATGGTGTTTAAAAAATGAAAAACTGCTTTTATTCTGATATAAACAAAACAAATAAGATTTTCTCCATTAGAAAAAAAAAACATTATCAGACATACTGTAAAAATGTCCTTGCTCTGTTAAACATCATTTGGGATATATATATATATATATATATATATATATATATATATATATATATATATATATATATATATATATATATATATATATATAATATAAATTCTAAGGGGGGCCAATAATTCTGACTTAAACTGTGTACAACGATCAAAAGTTTGGGGTCAGTAGGATTTTAAATGTTTTAAAGTAAGCTTATCCTGCTCACCAAGGCTGCATTTATTTATTCAAAAATACAGTGCAAACTGTAAAATGTTGTTGCACTATAAAATAACTATTCAAAGGTAGTTTATTATTTAATTTAATCGTTTATTCCAGTGATTTAAAAGATGACTTTTTTTAGCTTAATTACTACAGTCTTCAGAGTCACGTAATCCTTCAGAATCATAATAATATTATAATATAAATTATTATTGTTGTTATTGCTATTATTATTATTATTATTATTAATGTCAAAAGTAATAAAAGCAATAATGACTGAAGTAATAATTTCATTAAAATGACATACAATAAGTAATAAATATTTAATAAATATTTATTTAACAATTTAATATTTTTTACATTTAATAAATGCCACCTCGATGAATAGAATAATTTTATTTAAATTATTGAATAATATATATATATATATATATATATATATATATATATATATATATATATATATATATATATATATTCTTTTATAATATTTTGTCTTCTGGTCTTATTTATTTTAGTTCGACTAGAATAAAAGCCGTTTTTAAGTTTTTAAAAAACGTTTTAAGGTCAAAATTATTAGCCCCTTTAAGCTATTTTTTTCCGATAGTCTACAGAACAAACCATGGCAATGACAAATAAATCACTTATTAAAAAAATGAGTTATTAAAACTAATATGTTTAGAAATGTGTTGAAAAAAATTATATCTTCGTTAAACGGAAATTAGGTAAGAAAAAAAAACAGGGGGCTAAGAGTTGAGACTTCAACTGTATCTATAAATTGTACAAAATTGGAGGTCTTTTAACATGATCAAAACAATTAAAAACAGCTACATTTTATCAGTAATTAAACATAGCTGATTAAATTTATTTCAATGAATAATTAGCTTTAATTGTTAAAGTTTTTAAACATTGCTAATAATAATACTTGTTATTATAAAGATTTTATTGGGTAAAGAACAATATATTTTACTTTATTGACATTGTTACAATATAATTTGTTTTTATAAATGTTCAAAAATCTTGCAATAGCCCCTGATTTAGGGTTTTTCTAGTTTTTTAATGAACACCCTTTATAATGAGTTAAGATTTGTCCATAAACTGCTTTTCATTGACTGTCTTTCTCTATTCAAACCAAAATCTATCAGACAACATTAGGACAATTCAACACAAGTCATTCTGGAAGTTGAAACAGCTTCTTAAAGTAACAACGCACATTTACACACAAGTGCAAGAGGTGTGAGGGCATTGAGTGCAGTCTGACTGGGCTGTTTGTTACCAAAAACAACTGAAACAGTCTCTATAGTTCATTAAAATGTTGTTAAGTGCGCACACAGTCCTGGCTTTATGGGTGTGTCTGCATGGCAGCATTGTTGATGTTTCCTCTGCAGCGACCTTTAGCCTCGCTGTGATTGCGTGGAGGTGTGGTTCATCAGACACTCCCAGTGTTTACTGCCACAGGCCTGAGCTCAGACTCTCAGCACCGGGTACAAAATCCTCAATTAGGCCAGATTTATGCCCCCAAATAATCCGAGGTCTCATTTATTAGGCTTTGCATAAAAAAGTTTCTAAAAATGTACACACGCCAGCATAAATATAATGAATTTATTAGTGATTGTTGCTCATTTTGATGATTTAAAGTTCAGTTAGCTCAACTAAGTCAATATTTAAGTTAAATATGTTTATTTACACCTGCACAAGTATTCCAACCCCATATTGTGCATACGCCATTGAATAAGACCCTGGGATCGTTGGCCATCATTTCTTGCAATAGAGCCATTCCAGCATTATGAATGTGACATTTACAATAAAAACAAAAGAAAATTCACAGGGAATGTTTATGTTAACAGTATATTTACACATGTGTTTATATTCTCCATATATATCACAGAGTTAGGAGCTAGAAAATTATCAATCTATAAAAGTATTTTATATTTCAAACATTAGAAATAAACATGCGTTATGTTTGTTGACATACTTTGTAGAAATTCTGTGAATTAAACCACACAGGCCAAAAGAAATATTACTTCTGAAAATAATAAGAGTTGGCTCTCTATAGAACAAAAAATATTATTATTATTTTTTATTTAAAATGTTTGCATTTATAAGGAAAAAGCTTTTACGGATGTGACAAATGTTAAATCAGAACTTGTGTGACTGGTAAATCAAAAAATATTATTTGAAAATGATAAAAGAGATATTTGTTTGGGTTGTTTACATTACTGTAAATACAAGCCTGTTGAAACAACCTAGAAAAGGTTTCACTATTATCACTATTATGTTGAAAACTTTATTTTTCATAGCAAGGTTGACATTTGCATGGAATTGCTCAATAGTGACTTATTTTTCTTTTGTGTGTAACAGATTGATTTAAAGGGGAAGTTTACACTCAAAGATATCTACATTCTACATTTACTCACATTCGAGTGGTTCTAAACCTTTTTTCTTTCTTCTGTTGAACACAAAACAAGATGTTCTGAAAATATTTTGGGGGAAAATGGCTTTTGACATAGTAGGAACAACAAGTAGGAACAACAAGTAATATAGAAGTCAGATTCTCAAACTCAAACGGGTCTGAAACAAGTGAAACAAGATGAGTAAAATTTACTTTGCAGAATTTTAGCTTTTGGGTGAACTGTGCTTTTAAAGTGCCACAGTGTTGTTGTTGTTGTGTTTCGGCTGTTTGCAGTCATTGCAGTGAAGAAGAATTTAACAACCGCCCAGAACTGGAGGAACCAGATTGTTATTATTGATATTTATTCAAGCTTCTCATATTAATGGGCTTCGCTAGAATTTGCTTGACAAACAGACCTGTCGGAACTAGTGAATGTGTGTTACGATTTAAGAATAATATTTGCAAGCTGCTCTTAAATGGCAGAGCCATGTGTTTTAATTGTTTATCTGTGCCCTTTTGTCTGCGTAGCTTCAAATGCCAACTTATTTTCACAGCTTCTCTGCTTATGTGAGGCCGGGTAAATTAATTTGAGCAAAGATGCCAGCAAAATGAACAACAAATTCAAGCTGAGGCAAAATGCATAATTCAATATGCATAATTAAACTAAATTATTATGATTTTCATGATTACGATTGACAACGCAGTGGCGCAGTGGGTAGCACGTTCGTCTCACAGAAAGAAGGTCGCTGGGTCGCTGGTTCTATCCTCGCCTCAGTTGGCGTTTCTGTGTGGAGTTCGCATGTTCTCCCTGCGTTCGCGTGGGTTTCCTCCAGGTACTCCGGTTTCCCCCACAGTCCAAAGACATGCGGTGCAGGTGAATTGGGTAGGCTAAATTGTCCGTAGTGTATGAATGTGTATGTGTAGATGTTTCCCAAAGATGGGTTGCGGCTGGAAGGGCATCTGCTGCGTAAAAACTTGCTGGATAAGTTGGCGGTTCGTTCATTCATTCATTCATCCCAGATTAATAAAGGGACTAAGCCCACAAGAAAATGAATGAATGAATGATTACAATTAATTGTGTAACTGTGAATTGCTTCACAACATTGTATTTAATTCTGCATATCATGCATCAGCTTTCTTTTTCCAGTTTTTTTTTCAGTGATGAGTTTTGTAACAATCACAGATAAAACCGATCAGACACTGTTCTGCTTGTACTCGTGAATAACAAAGTGATGAAACTAAAACAGG